ATTTGAGAACAGTTTCCTAAGCTTGTCAGAAGTTATCATATCTGCAGAACATGTTGATTTGAATTTTCAAAACACATGGCTGATTGATGAGTGCTCGGCTCTTGTTGCTTCTTACTCTGCTCATTCAGAATCAATCCATGACAAGTAGTTAATGGGGGTCAATTTAACTGAGAAAATGTTATTCGTCTCAACCGTTATTGATGATTTATGTTTAACTGATATAATTATGAGAGTGTAAATCCTATTGTTTCACCTAAGTTTCTGATAAAAGTATGAAATTGCATTAGCATGTTTATCTGTTTTCATACTTTTAGTTGTATGAGTAGCCAAACATATTGGTGAGAGTCGAATAATCTGAGCTGGTAATTATATTATATATATATATTTTGTAACAGATGGAATTCAGATCCAAGCCCAAAATCAACTACCAAAAGAAAGGAAAAATCTAATGCAGCAGATGACCCATTTGCAGTGCTAGAATCTATATCAACCCCTGTTGCTTCAGCTTCATCCCAGGGTCTTTTCACAGATCCACTAGAAGAGATAAGCAAAATTGGTAAATCCAAGAGCACAAAAAAAGGTGGGGATATGTTTGGTGACATAGACTCCCTTAACGGTTTCAATAAATCTTCTTCACCTTCATCCGCAAAGGAGACACATAACAGGGGAAAGTGTTCAGAAGAAGGCTCCAGTATAGGCAGTGCAAGAAGCTCTATAGAAGAATCATTCTCACAGAAGTCACCTTTTGAGGATCATCAAAGCGTCTTTGACATTCCAGCTGTTTCTAGAAACTCTCCCACTTCACATACCGAGACAAGTTCTCAGGCGGGCCCATCCCCAAAATCAGAACATGGCGATGACATATGGCTGACTGTGTCAGAGATCCCTCTGTTCACACCGGTTACTAAAGCTCCACCACCTTCAAGACCCCCTCCTCCTATACCAAGTTCAAGGCAATCATCTTCTCCATTAGATGAGCTTGAGAGCTTTGTAAGGGAAAAGGAACACACGGATGCTTCTAGAAGTAAAGAAGCAGATAGAGAGAAAACCAGACTAGCTGTAGAGAGGGCTACAAGGGAAGCTCGGTTAAAATCGGAACGAGCCGCTGTTCAGCGAGCTCAAGCTGAGGCTCGTGAGAGGGCGGCTGTTGAGGCCAAGGGAAGAGCAGAAAGAGCTGCTGCTGAAGCCAGAGAAAGAGCTTCAGCAGAGAAAGCCGCTTCAGAGGCCAGGGAGAAAGAAGCACGTGAGAAAGCTGCTGTTGCAAAGGCTCAAGCAGAAGCAAGACGTAGAGCAGAGCGTGCTGCTGTTGAAAGGGTCACTGCTGAGGCTCGTGAGAGAGCCGCTGCAGAAGCTAGAGACAGAGCTGCTGCTGCTGCCGCTGCCACTGCCGCCACCACAGCTGTTAAGGTGAATCAACAAAAGAATGATAACGATCTGGATTCCTTTTTTAACATGGGTTCCAG